ATGAGAGCAACTTTTTGGAACGCAAGGCTATGTGAAATTGAATGGAAACTCATATGATTGTGGGAAAATTATTCTTCTACCAGTCCTTTATCACCCTAAACGAAATTGGGTGAATACATCTCATACTACTGATTTACTGGTAGTCACGAAAACGATACTTAATTCGTAAAAAAATGATACCCTTTCCATCGAAGTCTAGGCAGGTTGTCGCGTCAACAGGAATGTCCCAGCAAAGCGAAGAGCAATCAGCCGTCGCATTCTGATGTGATACACCCTCGAATTCCTTCATTACACACACTTCTACTCGAAATGGCTGCTCGCCTTGGCTTCAGCAGCACTCAAATGACAACTTTCTGTCACCGCCTCAGACAGCCGCGGGTGGTAATAAGTCGTAGGAAAGGTGTGAATTTCAAATAAAGCCAGGCCTCTTCGAAATCCCATTTTTCGCGTGAGATTGTCGGTGAGGTAAACTTAACTTGGCCGTTAAACTTGACAACACCACTTTATGGGGAATATGACTAGTTTTCAGGACTACCGGTAGATCCAATCTAAAAATGCGAGTGATTTTGCCGTTGTTTGCACACGATCCGATTACGAAATTCGCTTGCGTGCTGTAGCGAAAGTGAGGCAAGGTCGAAATTGCCGTCCAATCTAAATGTAAAAAGCAAAAAGTAAATTATCAACTCAAACAATCACGGCTAACTCAAGTTCTGACATGAGATCCATCCGCCTCGTTGCGTCTAAAGTGATAAAGGAATAATAGTTACATTTTCCCAAAATCACAAAAACAGGCCTCATCTTTTGATTGAATTTCATATAAACTTGCTTCCTAAAAGACATTCGCATCATAGCTGAACTGGTCTCATCAGCCGCCCCTCAGCGGAACTCGAACCCGAATTGTGTTGCTATGCAACCGGTAGTCTCGACGCATTAGCCACAACGCCAGAATGAAACAAGTTCGCTCGGCCTGCAGGTCGGACGTGAAGTTCAAGAAAGCCTAAGTCTTTTCCACATCACATTTTTGTTGAGGCATTGCCGATGAAGCAAAGTTACATTTGCCATTACAATCGCCCAAATTACTACTGGCACATCTTTTATTTCGCTTGAGAAGGCGGCTCGACGGGACTCGAAGATTGGCTCGACCGGATAACGAACGAGGGTTGGCTTGTACTGTTGTCTGTTGACTTGTGCCAAGAAGACCTCGGCTTGCCGTCTTGTGACCCGATGACGGTGAGCCGAGGCCTTCTTCGCACAAGTCAACAGACAACAGTACAAGCCAACCCTTGCTCGGTATCCGTTTTCTCAAACGAACTAAAAGCTACGCCAGTATGAACGCATTGAGGGATTATTCGAAATACAGCTTCTCTTCACAATTAAACTACTCATTTTTATTTAGTAGTATGCCTCGAGACTACCAGCAGATCAAATATATAAGAGGCATTTACCAACGCAACCCAGATTCGAGTCTCACTGAGCTGACTATGCGACTTGGGCGAGGTCAAAACTGCAATCCACCCCTGCCTGGGTAGGGATAACTTTTGGACACCTTATAATCCGAAATGAAATAATGAGAATGCCTCTTATACAATTGATCTGCCGGTCGTCTTGAAGCCTACTAATAAACGGAAATAAAGTTCTTCTTCACAAATTACTTATTATTATCTCGGAGGTTACTGACAGAAGCATATAGCTTACAGAGCCATTTAACACTAATCACCCTAGGCATTTGCGACTTTCGGCTTCAGTTCATCGAAAACATTCTGACAGCACGTAAGAAGGAAAACGTTTAATTTATCCTCGTTATAAGTATTTTGCGAATTAAGTATTGTTTTCGTGAGTACCATTAAATCAGTAGTATGGGATGTATTCACCCAATTTCATTTAAGGCGATGAAAGACTGGTAGAAGAAGAATTTTCCCACAACTTTTGGGAAAGCAAGGCTATGTGAAATTCAATGTGGGAAATTTCTTCTTCTACCAGTCCTTCATCAGCTTAAACGAGATTGGGTGAATACATCTCGTTATAAGTAGTTTTCGAGACTCTCGATATTTTTTGATTGATAACTTAGTCAGTCAAGGTTTCTTGAATTGCATCAACCCGCCAAAAGGGATTCGAGCCTGGTCCGTCACATCACCACTGACCCCCACCCCGTCCAGTCACGGGTGCCAGAGTCCTACAGAGCAACAGTGACATTCAAGGTCTACTCATCGGATTGTATGGGAAAACGCAACACAGTCTGATCGAGTTCTTAATGTTTAGTTCTCTTTAAAAGCAGCCTTATTTGAAGCCTGCCTGGCTGGGGCTGACGCATGAATAACACCATTTTTCCAGCGAGCTTTTCTTGTGTAAACTGCTGAAAAGATGTTAAATCTGCCTTCAGTGGGCTTGTGTAATGCAGCCAAATGGGTAGCAAATCGTGAGCGGGGAGTTGAAAAGTGATCCGGAATGTCGAAGTGGTAAAACGAATCAGTAGCCTTTTCTATTGAGGACTAGAATGCATCAGGTGGAGTCATCAGACCTCTTTGAAAGTGAGCAAATTTTGACAAAGAGCCTCTTCAAAAATGGACCAATTATCACAATTTGTTACAAGTTCCCTCTGGATACATTCTCCAGACGGACGAAGGAGACGGTCAGTTTTGATTCGGCATGAAGCAGCGCATTTCCAGACAAAACACGATCCTTTGGCCCACGCAGTCAGCAGCAAACTGGCAACATGCTGGGTCAAGAAACGCGTCAGAAAAGATCACCAATGACGGCATAGACACTGAACCAACTCGGGGTGCCTGAGGTTAGGCATCTACCGCCACAACTCATCAATTGAAAATGGTGTGCGAAGTAAT